GGCCATTAGTTTTTGGTGGGGGTGGGGGGTTGGTAAGGGGTTAAAAATTTAAAAAAATCGTAACTCCAAAATTACAGTAGCTAGCGAAACGCGGTTTTCAAATTAAGATTAGTAATAATATTTGCAATAAAATTTGTAATAACACGAAAACCAGTCAAAGTCGCAGTTTTCGAGATATCCGGCGCCAATTTTTTCTCTTTATCTTTAGAGGAACGGAATTTAAGTCGCCCATTTTTGGTCCCCATCGCGTTCGACCTAAGTTTTTTTTTATATGTTCCTTCCTTATTCTTTTTATTCAAAGAACTCAACAAATACTTAAAATACTTACATCTTTGGGTATGGTGACCTGAGTCTGAGTCTTCCCACCGGATCCAGGCGATCCAGACAACCCTATAGGTCCAGGGGGACTCACCATCGGTGTCTGGTTGAAACTAGGGGGAGGCTGTGTAAATGGAGACCCTGTCCAACCGTTCGACGTGTTAGACCTGTTGTTGAAGTTGTTCCCTCCAGAATTAAAATTGTTTGAAGGTCGATTGTTGGGTCTGTCGCCCATGTTGGACCTGTTCCCGAAAGATCCGCCTCCCCTATTCGGTGACGGTCCGTTATTGTTGAACCTTCCCCTATTTCCTGGTCCTTGCGAGTCGTCTCTCATACCGCCGCCTCCCCTGGGACCTCCCTGGCCCATGCCACGTGGGCCTCCATCTCTGAGACCACCAGTTCTGGGTCCGTCCCTGTAATAGTAATAATTTGTATACACGGTTGAAAAAAATGCGAATTTTGTCGTTTAAAACGGTTTTTATTGTTTTAAACACGATTTGATCTTGAAGGCCAGGTTTATACAGGTATTCCGGAAACTTCGACAACATATTCTGCAGATAAAAATAAATAAAAAAGTTCGTATAAATGTATGTCCTAAAATGCGTAGTTTCGGAGATACAGGGTGTAGAAGTTTCATTTTTATTTAGATTCTTTCCAAATAATTTCTGAAATAACGCCAAAATTAATCAAATTTTTCTGCAAAAAAATGACGATAAAATCGTTTCTGTTGAACTTTTGGCACAAAAACATTTCAAATTTATGGTCTCAGTCTAATATCTATTTAGTCAATATGTTTAATTTATGTGATTTTTACCGAGAGACGATTTTTACGTAAAAAACGTTGTAAATGTATATTTTTTTAATCAGTAGTTTTATATGTTAATTTATGTCAATGATGACAGGTATTGATAATTTCAATTCCAAATATCTCGAGAACTATTACTCCAGGTAAAAAACGTCGTAAATGTATATTTTTTACTCAGTAGTTTTATACAGGTACGGACGAAAAGTTATTACTCTTCAAACCAGTTAAAAAATATGTAGGTGGCGCCCTGTACAAGTAGGAGTCATATTGACACCAAAATCAAATTTATCGTGTCAAAAAACTCCCAGGTACCAATTTTCATCCAAATATTGACGTTACTTCAGAAATTATTTGGAAAAAATCGAAATAAAAATGAAACTTCTACACCCTTATCTCCAAAACTAAGCATTTTAGGACACTTATTTATTGGAACTTTTTTACTTATTTTTATCTGCAGAATATGCTGTCAAAGTTTTCGGAATACAGTTCGGACCACCCTGTATTTTAAACTATAGTTTTTATAACGCCTCAGGGGATATTTTGACAGACGATATCAATACTTTTTTTTTCACTAAAAAAGGTACTATTTTTTTAAGTTAAGTAAGGATGGGTTTATATATAGGGTGAGTCTTAAATAAGTGCAAATATTTTTAGGAATACTATATTTCGACCCCAGAAAATTTAATTTTTAGTTAAAAAAACATAATATGCTGATAATCTGGCAACACAGGCAGTAAATTAAATTTACAAGAAAGAAAACCCAGAATAGATCGAGTGGTTCTTAAAATTTAAAGAAAAACAATTTTTTTTTAATTTCCAAAGCACAATACTCGGTTATTTTGATGGACAAAGTAATAAGGTAGATATAAAAACTTTTTTTATATATATTATGTCTAAAAAAATTCATTTTACCTGGGTCCACCTCCACCTCCTCTAGGTCCTCCCTGGTTACTCCCTCCTCTCTGATTGGGCCTCTGGAAATTGGAACTTCCATTTCTATCCCCACCTCGGCCATTGTCTCTTTGCTGACCTCCCCATCCGCCATATTCGTCAGCATAGAACTCATCGAAATTGTGGGGGTCGTACGGGCTGGACGCACCTTTAACTGGACTCTGAAATAGCGAGCATTTTTTTTAGAACATTAAAGATTTTTAAAAGAAAAAAAAATACATTAATAGACTCTGAAAGAATCTTTAATAGCTAATTTAATACTCTATTCTTTTTTTGTGTATACACATAAATAAATATACAGGGTTTTACTTTCAGCCCCTTACAATAGAATTAGCATTTCGTTTTTGATATAATTAATCCTTTTTTACAACCAATAAGTATTACATACTTAAATTCAACTTAAAAAATATATTTATATTCATATCCATGAGAGAAAAAAAAAAGAAACTATCTGTATATTTTATGTAGTTACCTATTAATGAAAGCAACACCAAGACCGACTCTAAAAGACTGAGCGCTCTTTTCGCATTAGATGTAAACAGTTGTTCACATACAACCATTTAATTTTGGTTATATTTTTAAATGTTCTATAATTTAGAAATATCTGTTATTACCTGTGGTAAAAATATTATACTTAGATAATTAGAACTTAGTGACAAGAACTTAATACGCAAGAGAAAGAAACTAAAAAT